AAGAATCATGTTCAAATTCGACAACCGTAAATTAAAATTTTAGTTATATATTGTAGATCTTTTAATGAGTTCTGGTTTATTAGTAATAAATATCACTTTACCATATTTTATATGCATTTTCCAGTAATACTTAAACGATGAGTTGTTTTATAATTATGCAATTTGATCGGTTAATTGTCACAGGTATTCACAATTAGATCTATAAAAAATTAACCGTCACAAATTAAGTGATGAATAATATACTACTCATCATATAGTTTGGACGTTTGGGTAACATCATTAGACCTTTACCCGCAATGTTAACAATTTTTAAAATCGCAATAATGTTTATTATTTCACAATATTATATAGAAAACAGATAATTATGTCTACATGAGTCAGTAAACATATGCGAAAAAATAAAATTCGATGCTATATAATTAGAAGATATATACATATAAAGTACGAAAAAAATTGATATTTTTCACGTTACTATCTACTGTATAAACCAAGATTCATTATCTACAATCAACCGCCTTAAGAATGGTAATAAACTTAGATATAAAATTCAGATCTTATATCAAGTTAAAAAGTTAACCAGTTATTAATCGAAATGTGTTAAGGAATCTTTATTACTGTCTACACTATTAATATGTAATTAGGCAAATGGAAACCATTTGAAGTCCTAAGGAATTTGATTTGATCAACCAATTAAAACCTGTAATTTGCGGGCACGCACATTTGTGTAGTCATATTGTCTGAACCAGGTATACCAAAAATTTAGTCTCAATTAATTAATTGGTGGCGCAGCCACAATAATCAATTAATTGCAATTTTTCTGGAGTTTGCAAAATATGTGATAGAGCATATTTAAAAGATATCAAGCGATCTTTTTTTTAGAATAACATGCATAATTTATATTTCTTTACGAAGACACATATAACAAATAGCGCACTAAATCTCTATTTTTAAATCGATTTCAATGAGCCCAAAGCTACAAGTGTTACATAGAGGCCTTTTTTAAACTTGTAGATGATGTATTCTAAAACTTTATCATAACAAATTGCAATTAATTCAAATTTAATTATTGTTTATAACAATTTTACTTGATAGTAATAGTTAATAATTTAATTGTCCTGGTCAGAACAGTAATGTGGTCCAATATGACTACCATTCATTGGACCACATTACTTTTCAGACAATATAGTTTGATTGGTTGATCAATCACTATGCTTAACCAATTCCTTCGGACTTCCATCTGCCTAATAATGTAAACAGTCAGCTAGTAATCAAAATGTGTTAAAGAAACTTTATTACTAACTTTAATTTGATATGAGATCCGAGTTTTATACCTACGTTCATTAACATTCTTGAGGTGGTTGATTGTAGATAATGAATCTCGGTTTATACAGTAGATAATACGTGAAAATATTTATTTTTTTTCGTACCTAATATGTATATATATATTCTAATTATATAATATCGAATTTTATTTTTCGCATATGTTTACCGACTCATGTAGACACAGTTTTCTGTTTTCTATGTAATATCATGAAATAATAAAATTTATTGCAATTTTAAAATATGCTAACATTGCGGGTAAAGATCTAGCAATGTCACCCAAGCATCCAAACTATGTGATGAGTAGTATCACACATAGTTTATGACGGTTAATTTTTTATAGATCTAATCGTGAATACCTGTGACAATTAACCGATCAAATTGCATAATTATAAAACAACTCATCGTTTAAGTACTGCTTGAAAATTCAAAAAAGCTTCATATAAAGAATCAATGTAAACTAATAAATATACACAAAAGAAATTATAACATACAATATTTGGAAATAATAAGTCCAAACAGCCATCCGGGTAACCGTGTATCCGACCACCCGACCCGAAATTTTTGTCAACCAGGTAAGACTTTTAGCAAATCGGTTAACCCGAAGCCTTTTACTAGTCGGGTGATCCGAAATTGTTATGGGCTAGAATTTTACAGCTGTTTTCATAAATTCTGGGACATCTGAAAAAATTGCCGATGAACGAATAGGAAAGTCCTCATTTTGGTGACTTATTAATTCCGACTTGGTAACTTTTCAATTCGATCATCAAAAATTGTTCAGCTATCCCAGAATTTATGAAAACAACTGTAATTTGTGCTTGGATAAATAATTGGTTTTTATGTGCCGTTACATAGGTACGTTGTAAGAGGGAAAGATCGTCGACGAAATGGTTCGGGTTGGTCTAGCCAAAAATGGCTGCAAACTACCAAAACTGCCAGATCTGCTAATAATGGTAGTAATGGTAGTTTCGTAAGTACTAGTAGTAATGATAGTAATAGTAATAAAAGCAGATATGTTATTAAAGTTCTATAAAATGAAAATGTATTTAAAGACTCAATGTTTCGTACAAAATAAAGATAACTCCCCTCTTGAGTTCGAAACTACGAAATAATAGTAGTGTCACGGGGTAAAAGTGACATTTCCGAAGTCGGTATGTAGATCGTCAAAACCGGAACAATGATCGTGATTATCGAGAATGAGAAATACGCGTACGATTTACAAGGCTTAGATATTACCACTAGAAGGTTCTAGTAGTAATGGTGTAAAAGGTGGGATAGAGAAGGTTCAGGAAGGAATAAGGAAACCTGAATGTATAAGGAAGGAAATGTAAGGATTAGCTTGATCAACAAAGGAGTTTAAGATTTAGAAAGAGTAGTACTTGCATGATCACAAAGCCCCTTACGTCGCTCGATGGTTTAAAAAGATATAAAAGAATTGTAGTTTCGCCTTGTAAGAAGGATTTTTAATTTATTAGAATAGGAAGGAGAAGAAATTAATAAAATAATCATAAATATTCCTACCCTGCAAAAAGATTCAAATAAACTTAATACAAACCCCTAGAAATCTTAAACATAATTAATTGCTGAATCACCCTTGTCACGCCTCTGGCGAATTATCGTATCATAATCGTATACTTAACGTTTCCTTTTATTTGTAAACCAAAAACGAATAAAACGCCCCATAACAGTAGTAGTAGTTCCTTAAGTACCCTATAGTCATATCGACGCTTATAGCCTTCGTATTATCGTATTTGTCTTGTCCCCGTGATTAGTAAAAAACCCAAGAGAAAGATCTTATTAGTAATCGACCCCTTTTATATAAAATTAATAAACTGATTGAGTTGGTGATTGACCCTATTGTTAAGTAAACTTATATACATAATCGCCCCGAATTGTGATCCCGTGACACGTGACCCCGAAATTCGCAATCCGACAGTCGGTTAGAACCCAGGCGTACTAGAATAGTAGAGAAACTAAAATAGTAGACATTGAAAGGGGAATTAAAAAGTAGAAGCAAGTCTTAGTACTAACAAGAAATCAAATAATAAGAGTAAGGTCAATCCAGAGTCTTGATCCCGTGAAACCGCAGTAATCGAAACCACCCTATCCTCGGACCAAACCAATCCACGCCTCAATCGACGCCTACCAATTAGGGTGTAGCAAGAGAGGTAGATTCTATTAGATTCAGTAGTTCTGTAACCAGATTTCGAGTAGAAGTAACCCTCATTAGATCAGTGCTTGTAACCATACTAAATTACACTGTCACAACGTGCAACTAGGAACAAATTTTGAGAACTTACCTGAAAGACTAAATCAAAAATGCTTCATGATATTTTAATTGTGTAGATTTCATAACGCAGGATATGTTCATGCCGAATTCATAGTGATGGTTCGTCTAATTGTCTTTTAGTACCAAATTTTTCGGGTGTGATAGAACTAGATAACCGTTTTAATCGGGTATCCGGTTTTAATTTCGGGTACCCGGTTGATGAAAGTGTTTGACCCGACGGGTCATGGGTAAAGATTTTCAATCCGGTTTGGAACCCTAGGTACGGATATTTATTACTAATAAACCAGAACTCATTAAAAATCTACAATATATAACTAAAACTTCTATCCAAATTAAATAAAAGGTTATTTAGATCTAAAATAATAAAGCAATCTTAGACAAAAACATTTCTTGTTACCTTTACTCTACAATATAATCTTGCACAGTCCAAGAGTGATGATATAGTTGTCTTCTACACAAAATTCGTCAGGGATGAGATCTTTTTGTAATTCTTGTGCATAATGAAAATTGACAGTACTCTGAAACCACAAATGATTTTATGCCGATTTTTTATTAGTAAAAAGCTGTTCTAAAAAGTATTTGAAATAAGTTACCTGAGCAATTAATTTACACTAACTAATTAAAGGAACTTCGCCTGACATAACTTCTAGATAAAAAAGATAAAGAAAAATTTATAATAATGTTTCATTAAAATAGCTTTATTAATATTAAAATTCGAAAAATAATATATAATATTCATCAAAGATGATAATTATCTTTATGTGTTAAAAAAAAAGCATTGTGTAAAAAGATTTTAGCAGTGTCTAAAAATTTTTTCGCACCTTGAAGATTAACAAATATGTGACCTTTGCACATATATGTTTTAAAATTATGGACACAATATACAATTGAAATTAAATTATATCTTTAAATATTTACTTGATACCGAATTTGTATCAACTTTAAAAATAGATAAATTTGTTATAATAAAGATAGTGTCTGGAACCAGTCATATTCTTCATATGTTAAAACCCGGTTTAATCGGGTTTGACATATAAAAACAAATAATATGCATGCTCCTTAAAATCTTCATTTTAATACCGTAATAAGAGACCCGGGTATACCACAGTTTACGTCTTCAGTAATTAAAACTGACACGCAAATATTAGCCAATTAGATTATACAGTAGTTTCTTTTTTGATTAATGGGTCATATGCCTGGTGTCATGATTACCTAATATGTACCGTGATCATCCATTTTTTTTAATAATTACATCATTTGCATCGTGATCATCCTTTTTTTTTAATAATTACATCATTTGTATCGCGTTCATCTATTTTTGGTCCGCGAACATCTGTTTTTTATCTAATCTGCACCGCGTTCATTTTTTGTAAAATCGCGATCATAAATAATGGACGTGTCGACAAAAAAGTTATATAAAGGGGTGGGTTTTTTCTTACCTGATTGTTATCACTTTTTCAACATTACATTTTTAATTTCTTAAATTTCTCTATTCGTTTTTATACTTTTTTTATATTTTTACCTATTTTTTCTTGTTATATACTTTTTATTTTATCGTCGTTTGCTTTGTTCGCCGTCGGTTGTAAAGTCGTTTACCATGTTTGCCTTGCCGTTGAGTTGAAAAAGCGTAAGAGATGAGTAATCGATCTTACGTTAATATATTAACTTGACGCCCCTACGGTAACCGCTCCTGGGCTTCCAGGTTACACCTTCGACGATAGTAGCCTCGGGTGAATACACGTGGTCACCCGAGGACACTACTATCGCGTGTTGACATGCGACCTCCTGGGGCACTTAGGTTTTTTCGATTACTCACATTACTTTTTTTTTTTTTTTTTACTGAGTTGAAGGTTCGTCGTTTATTCGGTGACGGTAAAGTTATAAAAGGTTGAATAATAGTAATAAATATTATTGCAAATAAAATTTTATGTTATATTAAATATTGTATATAAAAGTTTATATTAAATGTTTTAAATAAAGTTTTATGTTAAATATTGTTATGAATTAAATTTTGTTAAATAAAGTTTATAATATATATCGTTAAATAAAGTTTATAATAAATATCGTTAAATAAAGTTTGTAATAAATATCGTTAAATAAAGTTTTATAATAATTATTGTTAAATAAATTTTTAATAAATATCATTAAATAAAGCTTTATGTTAAATATTATTAAATAAAGTTTTATATCGAATATTGTTGCAAAGTTTTTGTCTTATTAAGAAAGTGTTGTAAATAATGAAATACAATTTCGGTATTCTTTTCTTACTTCTTTTTTGCAAATATCGAATCATAATGCAGTTTTTGAAAGAATCTTTAAATACTAATAACTCCTTTTAGATGATGCAGTAAGATTCTAAATGTCGTTCTAACAGGCCATTTTAAACATTCTTTTCTATTTATTACGTTTTAGACCATTAAAACGATACGATATTTACCCGAACGTCATGTGCACCAAAACCAATAATTTTTGGTAACTGTTTCGACAGGCCATCTACCAAAATTTCTAAGATTTGAATGTCGTCTGACAGACAAAATATGAACGTAATATTCTTGTGATTGATTTTTGTGATTTTCATCCCGACGGGTCACCATTAAACTTAAGGTTTGACTACTGCCCGACAGGCCGAAACCCACCAATATTCACCAAGCAATGACTACTAACTTATTACATTCTTATCATTAACAATACCTACCCAGGCGTAATGCTTAAAGAAGCAACACTTTTTCTAACTGTTATCCCGATAAGCCATGCTACAAAACTTAAGAATTCGACTATCACCCTTCACATAAAAAGAGCCGAAAGGCTAATTGTTACTAAGGAACCTAAAATCTTGATCTAATTTCCACTGAAAGTCACTCGTTAGGTCCCAAATGAGGGTGGATAAAGTCTGATTAGTAGCAAAAACAGAAATTGCCTGAGAAAAAACTTTGATATTCTTTAAATACACCTCCCAAAATCCTGTACAGTTAAAAAAATAGAAAGTTAAACCGCTAAGGATGTTACACCGTCATTTAATTGGTAATAGAAGCTGTGATATTTTTCTTGAAAGAAAAACATCGGGTGCAATAAAAGCAAATAACTTGAGCTATATTTTTAATTTTAGTGACGGATAATAAGCATGAAAAGGTGATTAGATTATTAAATGAATTACAGTTTACCTTTGTTATAGGGAACCCCTGCTCTATTAAAGTGATTCTCTAGAACAATTTAAAGTTTTAATCAGCGAATATTAAATGACTCTAGCACAACTATCAAGATCAGTTACTGAAGATAGGCAAGATAATTATGCTATATAACTATTTAGTATGTTATTGGTTGTAAGTATACTGCATACACACCACTTCAGTAATAGACAGTGACCATAATGATCTAAGTGACTTGGACCGTTCTCTAAATGTGGTTACCAAGCCATCGTGATTATCACTTAGGTCAAAAAACTTGAAGCTGCGATCACCAATTTTTTTTTAGAGTTTCTCTGATTGACTAAATTTTAAAATCCGCATTTTCGAACAATGAAATTTTAACAATTCGTTCTTCTATTAACCGTAATAACCACTTAATCGTAATACTTTGAACAACATATCGATCACTAGCTAATCGCATTGAGAAACCCTTAATCACTAGTTATTCGTCACTCTTAGAAGTTAGATGACTAATCACTTAGTTTTAAATATGCGATAATTTAAATTTAATAAGTAATCATATCGGTGGATTTGCAGTAGGGTTGTCAAATTACCGTAATTTAACGTAATTTTGTGAAATTTTGTTTCAGCAACATGGTTTTCATGTAATTTGTAAGAAATGTGATCATATGCTCATATGATTGTTGGAACATATGTACAGTTGCCTCCGAAAGTTTAGACAGTTACACTGAAACATAATGCGTAAAAAAAAATCAAAAGTCATTAACAATTATATATAAATTTAATTTTATGTTGATGAATTTTTTATTTTTTTATGTTTCTGTGTAACCGTCCTAAACTTTTGGATGCTCGATCTTGTCAGTGAACTTTATGCAGAATCTACTTTAGTTAAATAATGCTAGCTGAGTTTTTATAGTGCTGGTACTATATATCACGTGTGAAATTTACATGAAATCCCTGTTACCAAAACTTATGTGCAATTACATATATTGTAAGTTTGTAAAATGTAATTTTTAACCTTAATTTGTAGTTTAATAAATATAAGATCCCATCAGATGTAATTCTGGTCAAAATTGTTGATCACTTGACCAGATCTGGAGTATCAACAGTTTTAATCAGAGTTATAATTGATATTGTTACAAAGTAGATTTTAGTATAGTATATTATAAAGTAGTATTAGTAGTATATATATATTTATTATTGTATTTTATATTATATTTATTATTAGTTATTAGTAGTTAATGGTTATATTATATAGTAGATAGATAAAAAGATCTTAATTGGTTATTAAAAATGTGATACAGTTACATGACATTGAGTAATATCTGTAATGTTACTATCATCTTATAAACCTCAAGTACTCTTGTACAAGTTTCATGTATCTTAGTATCAAATTACTGTACCAAGTATCATAACACAAGAATTCCAAATATCTTTAATACAAATCCTAAATATTTTGTACAAATTCCAAGTATTCTTATACAAATCCCAAGTATCTTTATATGGATCCAAGTACTTAAACACAAGTCTCAAGAATTTTAAGCATGAATAACAAATAATATAAACAATATTCCCAGTCATCTCTGCATAGTTCTTATTACCTCAAATATAGTATCATTTAATATTGTTTGAATTTTTATTATTCCAAATACAATAAAGTTAATGTTGTTCGAATTCTCATTATTTTGAATACAATATCAAGTAATGTTTCTTGAATCTCTACTATTCTGTTAGATAAAAAAATATATAAAGGGTAACTTTTATTCTTTTCTGTCAATTTTAAGTTTCTATACTTTCAACCTAAATTCTTTTATCTTTACTCCTAACTTGTAAAAGTGATATTTCCCTTCTAGGATAATTCCTATAGATAAAGTTGTCACTGTGTATTTAGTTAATAAAGTTAATCTATATACTGTTATTATCTTAAACCATTTGTCTGCTGTTATGTAATAAAGTAAACTACTACATCTTCACCTTGTATATATTTGCAATAGTCAATTACTGTACTAGATAATCTTGTTACTTGGTTATATTGTACTAAGAAGACTACAATTCTGTAACAATATTAGTAAATTTTATTAATTTTAATAATAATTCATAAAGTTTGATCTAATTATTTATGTAATATTAAGAAATTGCTAGTATTCAATATTAAAAGTAAGGTAATGCTATTTACATTATCATTTTTACTATTTATATTATGCTAAATATTAAAATTTTATTGATTTTTTTAATAAACTTGTTTTTTAGTTATAAGTTTTGATTAAGAAGCTATTGAAATATTTTTTAGTTAAAAATTTTAAATATTATAACTAAAAAAAAACTAATATAAATAATAGTATAAATTATATAAAATATATAATTAGTTTATTGTTTTTTAATTTATGAATTATTTATATAACTTTAAAATATAAATTTATACATATATAATTTTATATACCTTATATAATTTAATATCAACCTTATACAAAAATAATTTATTTAATAAAATAATTTTAATTATTAGTAAAATATCAATATAAATAATTTTTAAAATATAATTAAATAAATTATTTTATTAAAATAAAATAAGTTAAATTAAAATAAATTATTTTATCTATATTAAAAGTAAAAATTATATTACTATTATATTATATTATTCGACATTTCATATAAGCATATGAATTTTTTTGCTATGATATTTTTTGCATAAAATTATGTAATCAGTTTTGCAAAACATCACAGAAAAAACTTCACATGATCATGTTAACTATCTAATAACATCATTATTTGGCATATATATAACAAATAACAGACAATTTTTTTTTTATTAAAGTTAATTTCACTTATATGCTGCTATATAGCACATGGAATAACTTAACTCTGACAAAAAAAAATTGCTAGTTATTTTTTGTAATCTGTTGAATAATGTATACTTATCATTATAATTAATATATAAATAAAAATTTTATTTTATTTTGATTATAGTAATAATTATAATATTACTAAAAAAATAAAAATAAAAATATTTTATATAATTAGAAATTGTAAATCATTTTATTAAAAAATATGCTTATTAAAATTATTGTAATTATTAGCAGAATAAGATTACAAACTAATATAAAACAGATTTATATAATAATTATTTAATAATAACAAATAAAGTATTAAAACAGTATTTTGAAAATAATTTTTAATATAATAATACAAATAATATATTTTTAAAATTATATAATATTAAAAATATTTTTTATATTAAATTGTAACTTATATTTTATTATTTTTTTTTGCATTACTATTATATATAATTATATTATATTTGTATTACTAAATTACTTTTTGCTCTAGACATTCAATATAATATTACATCTATATTTGTCTATATATTTTATAATCTTTACTATGTATTATAATTATTATTATTAAATTACTAATAAGAATATAGTTATCTTATTGTATTCTAATTTCTTATTATCTTTAGCTAACAGTAACCTACCTATTTACTACTTGCAATAACATTTTCTTTTTTAAATTAGTTGATTTTAATAGTTTTTTTTTATATTTATTATTATTAATTTAATATACACAGTCTTAAATATCTTTTTACTATAATATTAATTGAATATAGTTGGCTTATTAAAATCTAAATTATCAATTTATAGTTTATTATAAATTTTTTTTTAGTTATATTTCTATAGTTTGTTTAATTTGTAGCTTAATTGCATATACTTCTTGCAGGCTTTTC